TCTCCGACTCAGACAAGAGTGGCCAGACTCTATATATAGGGACTCTAGGCAAGCGGCAAGAGAGGCAATGATGATGTCATCTGCGAGCAGAAGCTATCTCAGACAGCTACTGTTTGCAGATGAGATCATCATGTTCTCCCCTTAGAACATATATACTGGAAGGGGCTAGCTGACTTGCCGTTGTCCTCAACATCTATCTATCCTTGTCTGTACATTTTATTGCAATACGCATGCGTCGATTATGTTGATGTGTGTGATGACAAACTAGACAAGCTTATCTATGACAAGCCTTCCAATATTATCAAGTCTAAAGAAATAATCATAAAAAAGTATAGTATCGAGTATAGTAATAAAGTAATAAAAATGTATGTAAAAATGGGATGTTATTGCATTTTATGTAACTCAACAAACCGTAGCAAAATATCTCTTCATGCGTAAGTATAGATTTACTTTGTTTTATTTAAAGCTTTGAGGTTATATCTTGAATTAATTTAGAAATATAAAAGATATATTGTACGTATAACGTACATTAAAATAATCTAAAATGTTATTATATATTCTGTCCACAACGTTTAGATTTCCTAAAGATTTAAACATCAATAAAGTTTTTAAATATTTTTTTATTATTTATTATACTAATTTTTATTGTACTAGTTACTATATATACAAGATATAATTAAAATAAGATAACAAACTTTAGAAGAGCGAGAATATTACATAATAATAAATATTACTTTTTTATTTTTTATTAATAATATATATTTTATATCAGTAACAGTGGGTTTGACGGTCATATGTTGATGTCAAATTTTTTTTATATTTGGTCTCGCTCCTCAAAATTTGTTATCTTATTTTAGTTCATCCTGTACATTCTGTATATAATTATTGTTCATTACAGTATTTGTTTTTGGTTATGTGCATCATTATTTTTATTTTATTTCGCAAGATTATTATTACATATTACTACATATTATTATATATAATTTATAATATATTGCAATTATATTATAATATAACTTAAAGAATAAATTGTTATAATCAAATTTTCAAATGCCTTCCACCTATTTTAAATCTTTCTACTTTCAACTTAAGCGGTTATTCATTCGCGCAAGCGCATTGACTGATTTTGTACAGACAAGGATAGATAGATGTAGGAGACACTTTTGTTAAGTATATTTAGATAGGCTATGCCCCTTCCAGTATATTGGCCGGAGCACAGACTTTTGCATAAAGCATAACGCATAAGCATAAGGAAATTGATTGGTCCATTTCCTTATGCATT